CTTGCTTGCAGGCAAATGGTATTTCTTGCAGATATTCCAATGCACCATTGTTGCTACTTTGTCATGGTGTTGCTTGCAGTCAGTCTGCGCGATCTTCTTGCAGCAGCTGACTAGGTGGTCCACTGTTTCTTCAGCTTCTTTTCAGAGACTGTCTATTGCTGTCTTCTCAATTCTGGCTTTATATGCATTTGTTCTTAAGGCTTGGTCTTGTGCAGCCAGAATTAGCCTGTCTGTCTCTTTCTTCAACTTTCCTGCTCTTACCATTGCCAGGTCTTCTTGTTATATGATGATGATGATGATGATGATGATGATGATGATGATGATGATGATGATGATGATTCAGCATCCAAAAATTTTCTATGATCCAGTTAGAACAATTCTTATAAATTTTTCTCCATGATGGCCAGTAAAGATTTCTCATCAGCTTCTGATGATTTTTCAGCAGATGACAAAACCTGTGGGAATTGTGAGCCAATGTCTGGAAGTAGCAATGGGTTGATAGTGGAAGTACAAATTGCTGTACTGGCATGTACTTTATATTTTACAATGATTTACATTTACAATTTATAGTGACTTTATATTAATATATATTAATTGCCCTGGCTTCCTGTTTGTTGCCAGGCCCAATTTAAGATGCTGGTTCTTAACTGAATGGCTCATTCTGTATGCCATCCCCTCACATTTTGTGGCTCTATAAGGTTTGCACATCTCTATGTACAAAAAAAATGCAATCTGACAAACCATTTTGACATATATAAAAATTAAAATCTAATAATAGTAATAATAATAATAATTTTTTTAAAAAACTGCAGCATAAACAACTATAGGGGAAAAAAATCTGAAAAGCCTAGGTAAAACAAATGATTTTAAGCCACTCCTAACTTGTGAAACTATGAGCCTATGAATTTAAACAATAAAAATGTAAGAACTGAGCAATGACAATCTCCAAAAGAATGAAGCCAGATATTAAGCATGAAAACCACCAGACAACAGCAGATCAGAAATGTCTTAGCTGTGTGATGGAAGCAAACAATGAGGGGACCCATATATAATTTTTATATATGTCAAAATGGTTTGTCAGATTGCATTTTTTTGTACATAGAGATTTGCAAACCTTATAGAGCCTCCTCCATTTGCTAGTTGTACAGTCTTTCTTAGAAAAGCACTTCCACAAATCAATACCAACAGAGGTTAGGTTGGTGAGGGCACAGAAAAAGGCTTGATTCTGGAACGCTGTGACTTGCAAGGTCTGATGGGTCCCCTCATTGTTTGCTTCCATCACACAGCTAAGACATTTCTGATCTGCTGTTGTCCGGTGGTTTTCATGCTTAATATCTGGCTTCATTCTTTTGGAGATTGCCATTGCTCAGTTCTTACATTTTTATTGTTTAAATTTTATTCATATATATATTGCACACTGATCTGAGGTTCTTCTTACCAGTCTATTGGTATTTAATACATAAATTAAATAAAAATAGAATAAAAAGGGTTGTCAACACATAAAGTGTTGCAAAACCACGTTTTGGAACTCTAAAAAAAAGAGCAGGGACAGGACAAAAACTATAGTTTTAACCGAATTAGTGATTAAAATAAGTTGTCTGTACCATAAGGGAACTAACTCATTTATAAAATTAATTGATCCCTCATTAGGATATGCCAGTCATTTTCTCTCTCATACACCACCACCCACTGTCACACAGAAGCACAAAGTATGTGTACACACATATACCTGACACCTCCCTTTTATCAGCAGAAACAGCAGAAAAACAAAATGGAAAGCAAATAGGATGGGACACGGTGAGGGGAAGGGATAGTTGAACTAGGAATAAAAGGAAAGAGAAGGTAGCAGGACAAAATTAGGTGCAAATAAGGCAGGAGGAAAGGTAACTGGACAAGAAAAGATGCCTTGGACAGTGTTACAGAAAGGGCTAAAATTCACCAAGCAAGCAGTCCTTCCAAAAGCAGAGCTCTTCTTCAGGCCGATCTTCAGAGGCATTAGCACATTGCATCAGTGATCCCTGCAATCATTATGCTTCCTACGGTTTCTTTTGTCTTCAGCTCTTTCTATTCTTATCAGAAAATATAGGACAACTCTCCTCAATTCACAGATAATATCTGGGGAAATTGTGACTTCCTATCAGGCAAATACAGCATATTAGGCATAAAAATAAAATGTCAAATGTTTTAATGCTGTTTTCAACAAACCACATCTCAGAAATATACAACAGATTACTGACTCTTTCAGAGAAGACTAATAAGCCGTGGAGCCAATCTAATTAGCTACACAGAAATCTAATTTAAATTAAAGGGCTCCACTAATGGAAAATCAAAATTAATTAAAAGACAATTTTTAAGCCTCCTAAGTTACTGACTCTACTTTGTCTAAACAGGTTCTCCCTTTTTGTATTGAGAAGACTTTTGAGAATGCAAGCTGTTTCACAGCCCTCTTGATGTCCCTGTTTCTTAGAGTATAAATGAGAGGATTCACCAAAGGGGTTAAAATAGCAAAAGTCACATTGCTCAACACATGGATGTCCCTGGGCATATTGGCTCGGTAGGAGAGATATGCCAGAGCAATGGAACCGTAGTAGGTGCTGACCACAATCAGGTGGGAGGAGCAAATTGAAAAGGTCTTCCTGCGCCCTTCTCTGGAGCTGATCTGCAAGACAGAGATGATGATGCAGATGTAGGAGATGAAGACAAGCAAGAGTGGGATAATGGAGACAATCATGGCAATTGTAAAGCCCAGAAAACTCTGGAAGCTGGCGGAGGAATTTTGACAAGCTGCCTGAACCACAGCCAAGTGGTCACAAAAGCAGTGGTGAACCCTGGGCGTTTTGAGAAATGCCAGCTGGGACGATTGGACAACAGCTGGGATTGGGATCAGCAGTGCCAAGAACCAAGCGCTTGCAGCCAGTTGTATGTTCTTCTGCTTTGTCATTCGGACTGCATAATGCAAAGGATTGCAGATGGCCTCGTAGCGGTCGTAAGACATAACAAGCAAGAGGAAGGTTTCGGTCACTACTAGTCCATGGAAGAAGTACATCTGCAAGAAACTTCCCTGGGAGGAGACAAACTTAGAATTGACTAAGAACAAGGCCAGCATTTTGGGAATGGTTATGGTGGTGAGCAGAATATCTAAAATAGAAAGATTGGTCAGAAAAAAGTACATGGGCTTGTGGAGTCTGGGATCTGTAACAACAGCTATGATGACGGTAAAATTAGTAGAAAGGATTAGCAGGTAGAATATGAAGAAGACGAAAAAGAAGGGGAACTGGTGATCCTGAAGACTGGGAAAGCCAACAACCCAGAAGTATTGAACAGAACTACCCGTGAAGTTGCAAGCTTCCATTTTGTGAAATGTGAAAAGTGTCTAGAAAGCAAAAAGAAAAAAAAAGTGAGAGAGAGAGAAAGAGACCACAGGAGAAGAGTGTCAGCTGCGCTGCTAAAATCTGACCAAAATCTCTGCACAGTCCTCCTAAATTTGGAGCTCCTTGGGTTTATTCTAATATATCATATCCCACTTTCTTCCTCAGAATCCTGAGGCAGATTACAACAGCTGTAGGATACACTTTGCACCTCTAAAACCACCTGGCTACAATGGACGTTCAGGACGCACATGTGTTCTTGCATGTTAGTAAAACACAGAGATTATTGGTGCAGCTGCATAGAGAAGCATATCAAGGCTGTGCTTTGTTTTTTTTTAATCAATGTACACGCATCAGTAAAACATAACAGTAAAACTCAGTTCAAGCATTTTTCACGTTCAATAATGTACATTTATATTATATGTGGGGGAGAGAGGAATGAACTGAAGAGAGTTTGGGCAGAAAGTCTGATCTGGGGAAATAAGGTAATTTTTTCTTGCTGGTTTATTTATGTCCTAATACCTGTTGAAATAATGTTTAGACTGCCCTTCATTCTTATTGATATGAGAATTAAATGGGGAAAGTATGGCAAATAAAGCATAAACAAAGAAATACAATAAAATATTACAATAAATCAGTTGAAAGCAGGAAATGAACTAACAAATCAACCAAATGAAATGAAATGAAAATGCTCTAAACTGATACTGAAAGGCTTGTGTGTTTTCTTCTTTATCATGAAGTAACATTATGTGGAGAAAACACTTGCTTGATTTAAGATAGTCACAGATTGGTTTAGGAGAGGCACTTCTTCAGATGTTTACTTCCCACACCATGTAGAGCTTTGGAAATAAAACCAACATCTCAAATTACAATCAGAAGGGAATCAACAACCAGTGCAGTTTCTTCAGAGCTGGGAGTATTTTGATTCTACTGGCCTATTCTTGCTTACGTTCTAGCTACTGTACTTCCTGAAACATTTGATATAACTGAAATATTACAATAACCTCACTGGGAGGTTATTAGTGCATGAATTATCTTGGCCAAGCTGTCCAGGAAAAAGCACGGAGAAATTTAGATTCACCGAGGAGGCTTCGAATCTAGGCCTTCACATTTAGCCTGCTATTTTCTCTGTCCTATTGGATCTCATAGCCTTATAACTGAGGGATGTGCAAACATCCTCATTTCTGGGCACACATAAACATTAAAAAAAACAAAAAACCCTCAACTGAAAAATCCTCTGGTTTTGAATCTGATGGCTTTCTTTTCTGTGTACCTTAAAAAGATGCCGTGTACTCATCTGTATTTTAGCTTTAGTGTTTCATGGCAAGATATTCCAGGGATTATGGTCACGGCAGCACTGATTTTTTTGTTCATTTTAAATTAGTCTTTTATGCATTTATTTAGTCTTTTCTCTAGTTGTAGAAAAATAGTTACAAGCATGCAAATAAAGCATTTATTTATAGCTTTGTAGCTGAGAGACCCTAATATGAAAGCAGTAACAATTCCTTATCTCAACCATCTCCCCAAAACTTCTTCCTACAAGTTATTTTGTTCCAGCTTGCACATGAAAAGAGTGATATAGATAGGATGTAAATTGTTATGCATGTGACATAAGCTGAAATAGGGTAAAATACTATTTGTGCAGTTAGCCTGCAACTGAGTAAGCCCTGTGAGACTGCGCCTACATGCAGGGATATATTTCAAGATACAGATTGATTTTATTTTAACAAGGTTTTTGAGCAAGGAAAAACCAAAACCAAAAATCTGCTCCATCTCATCTAGAGAACTGAGAAAAAATAATTTGCCAGGAGCCATGGGCACGGCATAACCTGAATGTAGTATTTCTATAGAATGACATCACTGAGAGAACTTCAACTCCCTTCCAACTCTTTATTCAGTTGAAAGAACATTTTATACCCTGCCTTGTTTATCCTGTGACAGTTTAGATCAGGGTAAGACTGAGAAATGAAGAAGGTGAAAAGTAAATGGATGGGCTCAGGGGGTCACTGGAAAATCCTTCTAAGAGCAGCAAAGCATCAGCAAGATCAGATTGAGATGGTGGCAATTCCTTCATACAATCACTGGAGGTCAGGTATGATTTGATGATACCTAACTGATGGACTATGATTGGGAGAGCATGGACATGTAAAAATTGTTTGAGTTTCTAAACTTTTAAAAAACTATCCTGCCAGTCCATGCACAAAAGTCCATCATTATTACTGACTATTATTCAAAGGTTTATGAAAGGGGTAAGAATTCTCTGTATTAATCTTTCCTCAATTAACCTCTGAGTAGCTTCCAAGGAACCTCCAGATCCCAATAATACATTCTGGAAACTACATCATTGCTTAGTTTAGATTATCCCTTTCCTTAAATAGGAAGGAAGGAAGGAAGGAAGGAAGGAAGGAAGGAAGGAAGGAAGGAAGGAAGGAAGGAAGGAAGGAAGGAAGGAAGGAAGACGTTAAGCTAATGTGCTTGTTCCACCAATGAAGCTTTAATGTATTTGCTAGGCTTTAATTCAAATTTACTTTATTGTATTCAAAAGACCAAGTGGTGTTTTTCAACTACTTGAAGAGGTATCACACAGAAGAAGGTCAAGACCTGCTCTTTCTCAGTCCAGAAATGGAGATAAATTATAGAAGGGCAGTTTCTAGTTTAATATTAGAGGGGGAAAACCTTTCCAGATATTAAGAGCAGTTCGATAATGAAGACAATTAACTTGGAGAAGGAGAAGCAGTGAGCAACCCTTTGGTGGATGTTTGGTGGATGTTTTCCTGTGAAAGTTATATGCAGGTTTCCTTTACTGTAATTTGGATTCCTGCATGAAGCAGAGGGTTGGCCTCGAACCCCAAAATGACCCCTTCCAACTCCAGGTTCCTAACTTTTCTTTTTCATCTTCTTTTTCTTTTAAAAAAAAAAGCCCTAGAAGTAGTTAGATCAAATAAAAGATATAAATTAGAGATTTGACCTGTGGGGAGAGTTATTGAATTGATTCTTTTTGGCAGGTTTTGTATATCAAATTGTCATATTCTGTAAGAATATGTACCTTTCATATATGGCATGCTTTCCAACATCAGTCTAGCTGTAGCTGGATGATGGGAGCTATAGTTAAACACATCTATATTGGGCCAGATTAGAGAAACGTTTTGAGCTCCGTTCATCTTAAATCTGTCAAATACCCTCTTAAAAGGCCAGTAATCATAGATCAATCATGCTTCAACAAATTCTGTCACTTAATAGCACATGGCAATTATCTCTTAGAATTTGGGTTGGATGTATTCTGTTGATTTTTACTGTTCCCTTGTTTGCAATTGCTTTTAATTTACCATTATACAGTTAATTGGAAGATATACTACTGAAAGACACATTGTGAGTAACGTATAACATAAAACAAAGGATGATGACTAATTAAGTTAGTCTCTAATTAGTTTTCTTTTGGATATTTGGATTCCTGTTAAAACATGGACGATAAAAAAAAAACTATATGATTTGATGTAGTCTTTCTGTCCTGTGTTATGGGGGAGAAATAGAATCTCCATTGCATATTTGGCATATTTGCCACAACTGAGGTGTTTCTTCCTGTCTCTCTCTGCTAACAAAAATCAGACTTTCTTATTGTATGAAGATATACTTACTTGCAGATTGAAGTGGCAATAATTCTTTCTTTCTTATCAATATCAATTTCAGCAATGCATCCACTAAATATATTGCAACCTTTTATAAGAAAAATAGTCTCTCATAACCTCCCTTCACAAATTCCCAGTTGACAAGGTCCTATTTCCTCATCTCTTTTAACATCTTAACATCCCCTCATTTCCCTGATTAACATACTTGATTCCCTGCTATTTGTCATCATGGGCCCCACTGAGGAATATAAGTAGTAGTAAATTATATTGCTACTTTTCCTAATTTAAAAACACAATGCCAAACACATTTTAAGATTTTATATCTTAGGGTCAGGATTATTTTAGCACCACGATTTAATAATATGTGTAGCTATCATACTTCCCTTCCAAAAATGTGAATGGTAGGTAAGTGTACACTTAGAGGAACCTCCCTCCCATACACACAACTGTGTTTTTGTTTCCATCATACTGTTCAGATACAGTTGCTGCATTCCAGCTATGCCAGCCGCTGCAGGGTTTGACAATGCCAGTGTCCTCTAATTCCCTATAGCCCAATTTCAGGCTAGTCATAGACTGAAATATTCAGGAATAGTAGCAGGAACAGATACCAGGAATCAGTGAGCAGACCCAGAGGTTATGCAGAACTACTGCAGGAATGTTGCACAGCTCATCATAAAGCTGCAGGCATTTAATCCAAGCTAGAAGGTGGGAAAAAGAGAGGAAGGAGCCAAGAAGGAAAAAAGAAAGAAGAAAGAAAGGGAACAAGGGAAGTTGGTTAGCTAGGAGGAACACCCCTGCTCCTATCGGTTAGTTGGGATGAATCCTGGCTTATGGTGATCTCTGCATGCTCTGATGGTATGGTGGTAATGGCCTAAGGAAGAAGAGTGAAGGAACTTAGGCAATCTAGACAGAGAGGTAAGGAAAAATAAGGTATAAAATAGATTAGAGGTCCAGGGGCCAGGAAGACACACAGATAACAGCCCCTATTTCAAATTCCTGAAAAATTTGAAGTGGAAAAATCTTAGTGCACCTACTGAGCTGAGGCAGTAGCAACAGATGGAGATCCATGTCCAGCCCCTCTAGATGAATAAAGCATAACTATGAAGCCCCAGAAAAAGTACTTACCCATCAGACAAATGCAAAAATCTTCTATATTTAATCTGGGATACTGGAGGAGGAAGTCTGTTCTTTAGGAGACTGAAACCATCATATTAAGCTATAATAGGATTTATTGGCTCAGGCACAGCATATTATGTGAACCCAGCATCTGTGTTTTATTCACCCAGATATATGCTTTAACGTATTGTGCAAACCCAGCCAAAAGGTTGATGGCTGCAGGTTGTCCATCCCTGGTTTCT